CCCTTGTTAAACCCTGGTGATAACCAGGTTATAACCCAGGGGGAAAACCCAGTGTTATAACCCATGGTGATAACCCAGTGTTATAACCCATGGTGATAACCCAGTGTTATAACCCATGGTGATAACCCAGTGTTATAACCCATGGTGATAACCCAGTGTTATAACCCATGGAAAACCCAGGTTTTTAAACCCTGGTGATAACCCAGTTTTTAAAACCCAGGGTGATAACCCGTGTTATAACCCAGGGGGATACCCAGTGTTAACCCCATGGTGAAACCCAGTGTTAAACCCCATGGGATACCCAGTTTTTAAACCCATGGTGAAAACCCAGTTTTAAAAACCCAGGGGAAAAACCCGTGTTAAAACCCCATGGTGAAAACCAAAGTGTTATATCCCATGGGAAAAACCCCAGGTTATAACCCAGGGTGATAACCAGTGTTTAACCCATGGTGAAAACCCGGTTATAACCCATGGTAAAACCCGTTAAACCCATGGTGAAAACCCAGGTTAAACCCATGGTGAAAACCCCCGTGTAAAACCCATGGTAAAAAACCCCGGGTTTATAACCCTGGTGATAACCCAGTGTTATCCCCCATGTGAAAACCCATGTTTATCCCAGGGTGAAAACCCCATGGATAACCCGGTTTTTAAAAAACCCAGGTATAACCCAGTGTTATATTCTAGGGTGATAACCCCAGTGTTTAACCCATGGTCTAACCCAGTTTTATAACCAGGGGCAAAACCCATTTTAAAACGATGGTAAACCCAGTGTTATAACCCATGGTGTAACCCATTTTTAATCCCAGGGTTATAACCCATTTTTATAACCCATGGTGAAAACCCCATTTATACCCCATGGTGAAAACCCATGTTAAAACCCCAGGGTGAAACCCAGTGTTAAACCCAGGTGAAAACCCCAGTGTTATCCCCATGGTGTTTAACTCAGTGTTAAAACCCCCATAGGGAAAACCCATGCATAACCCATGGTGTAACCCGTGTTATACCCCTGGTGAAACCCAGTGTTATATCCCATAGTGATAACCCAGTGTTAAAACCCCAGGGGGAAAACCCCAGTGTTATAACCCATGGGAAAACCCATGTTATAACCCGGGTGATAACCAGTTTTTAAAACCATGGTGATAACTCATTTAAAACCCCATGGGAAACCCAGTGCTATAACCCAGGTGAAAACCCCAGTGTTTTCCCCCAGGGTTAAAAACCCAGTTAATCAAAGGGCAATAACCCAGTTTTTAAACCCCAGGGTGAAAACCCCAGGGGTTATAACCCATGGGAAAACCCGGGGTTTATAACCCATGGTGATAACCCAGTTTTAACCCATGGTGATAACTCAGGTTAAAACCCCAGGGGAAACCCTGCATAACCTGGTGAAACCCAGTGTTATATCCCATGGTGATAACCCATTTTTTATAACCCAGGGTGATAACCCAGTTTTTTTTCCCATGGGATAACCCAGTGTTATAACCATGGGATAACCCAGGTTATATCCATGGTGATAACCCATGTTATAACCCATGGGGAAAACCCGTGTTAAAACCCATGGGGATAACCCAGGTTAAAACCCCATGGTGATAATCATGTTATAACCCAGGGAAAACCCATGCAAACCCATGGTGAAAACCCAGTGTTTATCCCATGGTGATCCCCAGTGTTGTATCCCATGGTGATAACCCAGTTTTATAACCCTGGGTAACCCGTGTTGTAACCCCATTGATAACCCAGTGTTAAAACCCATGGGATAACCCGTGTTATAACCCATGGTGAAACCAGTTTAAACCCATGGGATAACCCAGTGCTAAACCATGGTGTAACCCAGTGTTATATCCCAGGGTGATCCCCCGGTGTTTTATCCCATGGTGATAACCCAGTGTTATAACCCATGGTGATAACCCAGTGTTATAACCCATGGTGATAACCCAGTGTTATAACCCATGGTGATAACCCAGTGTTATAACCCATGGTGATAACCCAGTGTTATAACCATGGGGGATAACCCATGTTATAAACCCAGGGGGTGAAAAAAACCCAGTGTAACCCCATGGGATCCCCAGTGTTATAACCCATGGTGATAACCCAGTGTTATAACCCATGGTGATAACTCAGTGTTATAACCCATGGGGATAACCCAGTGTTATAACCCATGGTGATAACCCAGTGTTATATCCCATGGTGATAACCCAGTGTTATAACCCTGGTGTAACCCAGTGTTATAACCCAGGTGATAACCCATGTTAAACCCATGGTGAAACCCGTGTTAAACCCAGGGTGAAAACCCATGTTAAACCCGGGTGAAAACCCCATGTTGAAACCCCAGGTGATAATCAGTGTTAAACCCCATGGTGATCCCAGTGTTTTAACCATGGGAAACCCAGTTTTTAAAACCCCGGTGAAACCCAGTGTTATAACCCATGGTGATAACCCAGTGTTAAACCCGGGTGATAACCAGGTTAAACCCAGGGGTGATAACCCAGTGTTAAACCCATGGTGTAACCAGTTTTTATAACCCAGGGTGATAACCCAGTGTTAAAAAACCCAGGGTGATAACCCAGTTTTTTAAAACCCCAGGTGAAAACCCCAGTGTTTAACCCTTTTAAAACCCATTGTTTATAACC